CAAAACAGAAAGAAGCAAGCAGCAAGTCTCCCGGTTTCATATTTTTTATTCCAGTCTTGGATCATTTCAAATAAAGATGTCAATGCACGTTTATTAAAGGGAACAAAAACATGTAAAGAACACAATTCTTTTGGAGAACTCTTGACTACTTCTTCATTAGTAAAGTAAAACAAGGTGCCCAACCCAAAGTTCATAATAATTAACTACAGGAGTCTAGACCAACTCACTCTAAATAAAAGAAAATCTGCTCCGTCAAATTTACTATCAACTACTGATAGACCTTGATAAAATAAAATTATTAGGAAAAATCAGAAATTCACAGTTTCCCTTTCAGGAGCCATTCATCTCAAATCATCCTGCATTATTTGCTCAAATAGTCTTGTCGAATCAGCTTGAATACTGTGATTGAACATCTATAATTTTGAAAAAAAATCAAGCGAAGCACATATATATATATGTATGTATATGTAACATTGAGAATGCTCCTATTGATAGAGTGCCCTGTGTATTCAAGCTCCTATCTAACAAGTCTTGCATCAACAATTGGAATACCAACTGTGAATTTAACGTTGCTGACAAACTAATAGCTTTCAAACTCCAATTTCTGCAACATTTTTCAAAAAAAAAAAAGTTACAGAAAAAACACCATTACAACCACAAAGCAAGTATGAGCATTTTCAGCTTCTTCATACTTTCAGCAGTTGCTTCGAATTGCCTCACCAACGCAACCCATCTGAGACTAATATGACTTTGATTTACTCATCAAACATTTAACAAGCGTTTACTATTCACTGTCAAATATTTAACAGGGGTTTACAATAGAGAGTAAAGCCGCAATGAGTTTCACGACGAAGAGAGCCAGAAAAGCATCGACAATGTTGTTGAACATGATTGGGAGAAAATCGCTGATCACCTTTGATGAAGATGACAGGAAGAAAAGAGCCCACCATGCTGATGAAGACGATAGGTACAAGCGGCCACCAAGTTCCTGCGCTTTAGGATTCCTGAACAAATTTCAAAGTTAAAAAATGAAAGTTAATAAATTTTTTTAAAAAAATTCAGACCAGCCATCTTCCATGTCATCTGCTTACATGGAAGTTCTCAAAAAAAAAAAGGCCATGTGTCAAGGTTTTTAAACGGAGTTTAATGCAGTTTAATGCAAAGTTAGCCATAGTTAAAATTGCTCCAAATTTAAAAAATGAGGGGTAAAATTACACTCTTTAAAAGATTAGGGTGTTGAGTGCACCTGTAAAATAAATTCAGGGTGCTAAGCGCTACTTCACCCTAAATAATATAAACGTAACGACCAATATTTTATAACTAAAAATTAAATAAACATTTTAACTTCATGTAAAACTTAATTATTAATTTTTATTAAAAATAAGAATAGAAAAAATTAGAAGCAACCTATGTGATCTCGAACTTTCACTTAATTGGAATTTATGGTCGGCCACCTCTGACATATGAGAGCATATGGGCATTAGTGGCACTTTTGCTTCCATGAATGACGTGTTAAGTGGAGATTTTGGAAATAAATGAATCCGTAAATCGTCGCGGGTTTGAACTTTTTTAAGTGTTTTTTTTAAATAATTAATAAATGCATCCATCAACTTTGATCATGTTTGAATTTCTTATTGTGTACTCATAATGCAACTCGTCCTACTCGCACTAAGAATTTTAATTTAAGCTACTCCAAAACCGAGTTAAGTCTCTACTAAAACATATACTCCTTCAGTTTTAAATGTAAGACTCATTTTATAGTATAGTATAATTTATACTATAAAATGATTTTTATATTAAGAGCCAAAGGAGGATACTCTAAAAGCTAGCCAACTTGTTTCTTATACCCAAGAATGTGGATTTGGTTGACTCAACAACTAACTCGCTTTTTTTAAGTGGAGCTTTTGGATACACATTTTCCTTATAAAACAACTTATTAGGACACAAATATCTATTTCCTAATCAATGGGAATTGATATATTAAACGTTTCAATCAGATTAATTGAATTTAATAAGAAATATATAATATGATGAAAATACTTCTAAATTTAAATTTTAAAATTTGAAGTTGAGATATGATGTCTATTTAATTATTCATTCTCCATTTATTTTCTTCCCACGAACGTGTTTCGTGGGATAGCTCTCCAATTCCTTACCCATCTCATCCAATTCAAAAGCAAACTTAGTTGACTATACGATCGAGTCAACTCAAACATAATTGGGGGTTCTACATAAATAATATACTTGGAGCTCATTAATTTGTCGGTCAAACTTGGTTGCCTCTTGAAATTTCTCAAAAGTTTTGCTTATTGGAACAAAGGCATGGTAATTGGAGGATTAATCTGGCCAAGTTGCTTAGGAAATTATGCGGAGAATTTTTCTACAAGTTTAATGCTATCCAACCCAACACACTATACATTTGGTTTTTCATATCAAATCCTTCTACATGCCCATATGAGTGTCTGTATCTCTGTTTTCTTTTAAAGTTCTATTTTAATTAAAATATATATTTGAAAATAGTTTTTTAGTTTACTATGGAAGTTAATACTACTCCGGACCACGCGCGTAAGTTGATACTCCAAATTCCAATTTGTAATTATGTTGAAAATTAAAATTTTCACAGATCAAGCTAGACAAAAGGTTAGAGAATTTCATAGCTTAAAAGACATCTAGTTTTTTTTGGCAAAGAAGCATCCAATACTTTGATATTATTTTCAAGTGTATCTAATATTTTAATCTTATTTATGGTATATTTAGCAACCTGATATTATTTTATTGATGCATGTATCATCTTAATGTTATTTCTTAGTTGCATCATCACTCTAATGTTCTTTTATAATTTAGGACGCTAATAATATCAGCATGCTGGATGGATTATAAATAAGATTAGAGTGTTAAATGTACCTAGAAAATAATATCAGAATGTTGGATGTTACTTTACCCTATTTTTCACAAACTCAATTCAGTGTATATATATGTGTGTGTGTATACTATGCTTGATACTTAATATAAGACCTAGTTAACTAATTTGAAGAGCTCAAGAAAGTTAAATAAATTATTTTAAAGTATTACATTTATCACTTTTTCAAACTTATTTACTTGGCTTATAATCTAATAATACACATAAGTATTTTAAAAATATTATTAACATATGCTATAATTAACTACTATGTCCAGTCCTAAATATAAGACCTAGTATGTAGTGTAATTCATACTACAAACTAGGTTTATATTTAGGAGTAGAGGTAATAATGTTTAATTTCATTAATTTTTTTAAATTAGTCAACTACATCTCATATTAAGGATTGGGGTGATAATTCGATTGCCATAGTTGTTTTCCTGTTTGTCAAGTGCTTAAACTTTTACTTGATTTTTAATCAAATTTCTATAGTTTTAGGGGGGCTGGTAAAAAAAAAGTGAAACTGTAAGAATTTGATTACAAAAAACTACAGAGATCTGATTAAAATCAGATGAAACAATAACAATATGATAAAAAATTATTGGAACTTAATTAATAGTCAAATGAAAACGATACTATATTTGGACCCCACATATCTCTTCTCTCGGCGTTGAGGTCTTTAGAGCACTTTATTGTAAGTTGAACTGTTCAAATTTTTTTTTTCCCCCCTTGCCAATGAAGTGTGTCACTTGCAAGGAGACAGAGAGTTCTCTCATTGGTTAGTTTACGAGCAATTTCATACTATCATGGGAAAGTAAACTGAAAAGGTGTCGTGTTTGAAACACGGTTTACCAATAACCATTAAATGGTGGCCGATTGAATTGTTTGGTTGGGCTTTTGTAAAACATTTTGTAATACTACTTAATTACCTTAAATAGCTGGATTATAATTACATTTGACCTGTGAAATGGGATATAGCTCTCTTGTAATTAGATGGAAAAGACACTACTGCCTGTATAATATGCACGCACAACTTTAATTCCTTATACTACATATATGTAAGCGTGTGTATGTATAGTAATATAGACAGGACAATTTTACTTTTTTATTTATTATTTCTATCTATTTACACATTTTTTTAATAATCTAACCAATCAATATTATACCTACGCATCATATTTTCTACAACAATATACCAAATAAAACCATATAAACATCATTATATTTCATTACAGGGTCTTCATCCGGTGCTTATCAAAATTATAGTGCAATCTAGATGATCTCATATCTGATATGGACATGGTTCATATTTAGAATTTTTAATATGCAATTTTGTCAATAATAAATTTATCTTTTAAAGAAGGGTTGGTTATAAAAGTATCTTTATTTTGAATTATGTATCTATTAAAATAAAAAGTTAATTAAAATATAAAAAAATTTAAATCCAATCTAAATCATTTAAAATTAATCTGGATGGTTCAAATTAAGATGAATACTCCATACTCATCACAATGATGAGTATGGAATCAGCTCCCATATTTTCTTATCCGTCAACACATAATAGTCTAAACATAATAATGAGATGTAGACTATACACAATTCCATTAGTATTCTTCTTGTCAATGATGGATTATGTTAATAAAGAACACTAAAGTCTGCCCAATAACATGCCTTTTTGAAGTTCATAAGTGTATCACGATATCATTAACAAAATCACCAATTCAAATTGCAAATTTTAAGCTCCCGCATGGTTTGATCAAGTTCAATATAAAATTTTCAGTCCAATATAAAATCTTGTATCAAACTTCACTTCTCCCAAGCCTTGATAGTGGGCTGAAATGTATCAATATAAAATATATGGTCAAAATATGAGTCATTCCGACCAAGAATAAATAAATTCTCTTTTTTTATAAGGAGAATAAATTAAATTCTACGGTATTGCTGGAAAAATATATTTATATGAAACACACTAGCATTTATATTTTGTCTTTTTTCTCCACAGGTAAAATGAATCACACTATAAATACCTCGTTGCTGGTCTCACTTCCATGCAGGCTTATTTGAAGTTTCATCTCTCAGTATGTGAAACTCCAAAACACGCATGGCTTTCTCCATTTCTTCTAAAACACTGTTCCTTCATCTCTTAATCTGGTGTTCCACTCTCATATGTCTCTCTTCAGGATTCCCCACTGAAGAATCCGTTCTCCCTTCAAAAGGAGAACAAGAGTTTGGAATATTCCGACAATGGATGAAGGAGTATAGGAAAAAATACCCAAACTCTGAAACCGCCGAAACCAGATACCAGATATTCCGTAGGAATCTCAAGTATATCGAAGAGACAAATGCCAAGAGATCTAGGTATCATTTGGGACTCAACCATTTCGTTAATATGAGTTCTGAGGAGTTTAAGAGCGTATACCTCTGTCATCTACCGACACCGAACACGAACAACTCTGCCGCCACGAGGTCCGATTTTGTACTGCAACTGGACTCCCGTAGACCTCCTGCTTCTGTGGATTGGAGACAAAAAGGAGTGGTGACTCCAGTTAAGACCCAAAAGAGATGTGGTAAGTTGCCTTAGTTCAAATTAATTGGTCGCATTAATTTTCTCTAGAACCTGAATGGACCAATAATGGATTAATATCTGATGGTTCATAGGAAGTTGCCGGGCGTTTGGAACCATCAGAGCTATTGAGTCAATAAACGCAATACGCACAGGGGAACTTGTTTCTCTCTCAGAACAAGAACTCGTAGATTGCGACTCTGTAAGCGATGGTTGTTCAGGTGGATACACCAAAAGTTCCTTTGAATGGGTTATAAAAAATGGTGGAATTAGTGAAGGAGATGATTATCCTTATATAGCTCGAAATGGCATTTGCAAAGCTAGCAAGGTTCGTTTACTCTCTCTCTCTCTCTCTCTGTGCCACTATAACATTGATGATATCTTCTGTGCGTCGAATATATTTGAGATTTCTTATATGTGTTTGTGATAACCTCTCAAAATTCCTACTAAGTTAAGCTGATTTAATGCTTTTTTATTGGGTTTAAAAGTCAATTTTGCAGGAAACAAAGCCTGAAGAGAGTAAAGAATGGAGAAAAGCTGAAAAGAAGTCATCCGCTGCGGCCTCTGGGATAAAATGCCACGGCGAATCAAACAGAAGGGGAGGAGTGCGCCTCTGTGAAATCCGTCGCGGTGCCTTGCTGAATCCGCCGCGGTGCCCAAGCTATCTCGAAGAAAACCTGTTCGGTAAAATCTGCTGCGGCCGATTGTCACGTGCGCCGCGGCGCCTGAGCCTCAAAGTCATTCTGTAATAGGCGCCACAGCGCCAGAAGGGATCCGCCGCGGCACCTGGCCCTTCGCAGCTGTGCGTTTTACATTGTAACTTAAAAAATTAGGGCATATAGAGGTGGATACTCGGTTTTTCTGGAGAGTTTGACTTTTGGAGCAATTTTGGAGGCTGGCTCTGCTAGGGTTTGGAGTTTTGGAGGCTTGGAACCTTTGGGCTTGAAGCTAGAAGAGATTCAAAGCTTGTAACTCGAATTTTCTAGGTTTCCTTCTTCTTCCCTTCTTGTTTCTGCTATGACTACTAGATACTCTTATAGTTGTAGTTCTTTACTCGATATGTATAGCTAAATCCGTTTTTCTAGGGTTATTTTGATCTATTGTATGGATTGAGACTGGGTTTTACTATCTCTTTAGTGTTAATGATAATATTCAGTTGTTTTTACTTTGAGTTTAATGCTTCCTTTTGTCTGGCCATCATTTGGATTAATTGATTGATTAGTTTAACTTGAGAAAGTTAAACTAATTCATGAACTTTGTTAAAAACATGCTAGTCCAGAAATTTAATTGAGTAAATAGATGGTTTGTCGATGGAGCAGAGATGTATCTGTTGACCTAGCATAGACTAAATGCGTTTTGGTTTTTAAAGTGCAACCTTTTCAAACAAGTGCAAGAGATTGCTGTGTTTTAATCGTGATTGCAAACATTTGGTTTTGACTTGAGAAAGCTTAATCAATTTTGTAAGCCCAGGCTAACTGAACTTTTTGTAAAGCACTACTTGAGAAGTAATTAATCTAGTTTCATGAAGTATTTTAGTAAAGAATAACCCTAGTCTCTTAATTGTTTTGAGGTCGATTTGATTTTATACTGCTTTAAACCATTGTTTTCTTAACTTTCATTTTACAAACTCTTTTACAACAATTGTTTCACTTGACCTAATCAAATACACAATTATGATTTTTCAACTCATCTAGCCTTAGTCTCTGAGGGAATGATACTTTTTATATTACTTGCGACCCGTCCACTTGCGGTCAAGTTATTTGGTGAACAAGTTTTTGGCGTCGTTGTCGGGGACTAACGGCTAGAGTGTTTGAGGTTGATTGTCCTTATTGTGTGATTGGTTACGCTTAAGTTTCAATTAGCATTTGTAGTGATTATAGGTAGTAGTAGTAGAATTTATTTTGTTCATTTCTCTTGATAAGTTTGATACTTTTGTTTTTTATTTGAATGTGCAGGTAACCCCTGACGCATGTGATAAGTCTCATTATTTACATACATTTCTAGCCCTAAACACATACTTTTGCAATCTATATTTACATACTTTGGGCATAATTAGGTTCCATTGTGTATAAGAGTTGGTGAGAAGAATTATGAGGTCTTGCAAGTGTTTTTACATGTTTTTATATGATTTTATTTGTGTGTACTTTTGATCCCTGCTTTGGCATGAATTTCAGGAAGTTTCAGTAGCATTTTCGCCATTCTATCTGAGGCGCCACGGCTGATTTGGGAAGGCGCCACGGCGGATTTCCAAGGTACTCTCGGTGAAAAGCGCCGTGGCGGATGGACTAAGGCGCCACGGCGGACGGAGGTTTTCATGAAGCTCAGGATCATTAATCAAAACGACGCCGTACAGGACAGGCGCCGCGGCGGATTATCAGAGGCGCCGCGGCGGATGACCGAAATTTCCAGATTTAAAAGCAGAGTCCCGCGCTTCAGCCGAGGATCAGATTTCAGTTACCCATTCTCCCTCCAGCCGCGAATTTCTTGCTCTCTCCGCCCTCTCTCATTTCTCTCTTCCATTTTCGTCCAATTCCATCAATTTCCACCGATCAACCATGGATCTTTCATCAATTCTTGTTGTTTCTACCCTAATCCAGAGTATGAGTAGCTGAATTTCCAAGTTCTTCTAGCAATGAAGCTGACCTGAGTTCATGGAGCTAAACAGGGAGTCATTTCAGATCTATTTTCTACCTTCTATTCTAAGAGTCATTTGTTTCAGTTGAACAATTGTGATTAGAATGAAGATTGAGTGATTAGATTTATGTTTCTTGGAATTTAGATCTGATTGAACATTCAGATGTGAGTTGTGTCCTTTAGTTCAGTTGAATAGAGGATTCTCTGTTGATTTGTAAATCCAATTCGTTTTACTTGGACTGTTGTTCTGTAAATCTGAATTTTGGTTGAATATATTGATGATTCACAGTTGTGGTCATTCTTAGAGAATTGCAACTTGCTTCTCAAGTGTTCTTGCCAATTGATTTTCCTTCTCATAGATCAAAATAATGAATCTAGTAAGATAATTGTTTCTGATCTATGTTAAGAGAGATTTGAGCAGTAGCTGAATCTATCCATTTAATTGACACTAAGAGACTCCAAATTATAAGATTGAACAAGGAAGGTTGGATAAATTGCTAGGGGAACTACTATCTCTCATCTGAATCTCATTTGCAATTTACCTTTCATTAGATTTGTTTCTTGTTTTGATTTCTCTTTTTCTGAACTAAAGCTCTCATCTTGGTAATTTGATAATTAATAGTGAATTGTTAAGAATTGAAATACAACTTAAGGCTCCTTGTGAAGAATGACCTAGGTAGTGCCTCACTTGCTGCATTTTCCCTAGTAAAACTTTGATTACCTAGCGACAAGGTTTATCAAATTGGCGCCGTTGCCGGAGAGCCTTACTTGTTGAGGTTTTGAGCAATTCACTGGTGTGCCAAGAAAATTCTTATGTTTGAAAACACAAAACTTCAGAAAAAGTAGCTTTAGTGTTTTTGAGTTGTGCCGCATTTTCACTTTTGTGCTTTGTTGTTAAGTAGTTTCCCTTTTTGCTGTGTTTCAAATTCATTCCATAGGTTGTCAAGGAGTTAACACAATTGAGTAGGCTGTGAATTGTTTGAATCCTTGCTGTAGCAACCTTTTCCCTTTTAATTGTTCTTCCATTTAACCTAATGATGGTTGGTTGTTTTTATGCTTTTGAGATATTTTTCTTGTTGACAAACTAATACCATTGTGTTAAGGGGTTCAATTTGCAGGGGTGAAGGTGTGAACAGTGTCAGAAGCTGCTGCAGAATTCGTCCATTTGGTTTATCAGTACCAAGAGCCGCGGCGGATTGCACCAGAGGCCGCGGCGGATTTCACCTGATCCCTTCTTAGCTTTTTGTTCTCTCTTTGACTTCTGTCTTTTGTCTAATTGCTTTTTCACATTTATTTTATTAGTCTATTCTAGTGTTCTTTAGTTGCATGTCCCAGGATAAGGGCCTTTTACCTTTTGATTGGGAAATCAATAGAACTCTTAGGCAAATCAAGAAAACCAAACAAATAGCTGAGTCTAGTAAGCAACCTATAGTGAGTGACTCTCTTCCTCAAGTTGAATCTTGTTCTTCCTCAGAATCTGAATCTACTTTAGGAGGGTTTATAGACAATCATTTTGTGATGGATCAAAATAATAACAATGCCCAAACTGAGAGAGGTGATGCTACAAATAGACCTCAAAATGAAAGGCAAGCTGAAAATGTTCTCCATAATGCTAATATTCAATTGAATAGAGATGAGGAGAATAGGAGCATTAGAGAAATTAATAACTCAAGTGTGAACTGTGATCCATGTGGTTTTTATAACTTTGAAGCTGATTTTGAACTTAAAGGTACCTTGATTAATGCCTTACCAAGATTCCTTGGTCTTGCAGGGGATGATCCATATAGCACCTTCAGAATATGCATGCGGTTTGTTCCTCTATGAAGCCCCATGGTGCTCAATTGGAAGATGTGCTAAGGAGAGCTTTCCACTTCACATTAGAAGGAAATGCCAAAGAATGGTTGCAAAGCCTACCTCAGCACTTCACAACACTTACATGGGAGCAACTTAAGAAGGCCTTTTTAGAGAAGTACTTTCCTGCATCAAGGACATCTAAATTGAGGAAGGCTATCTATGGAGTTCAACAAGATAGTAGAGAGACCTTGTATGAGTATTGGACAAGATTTCTAGCTATGCTTTCTAAATGTCCAAATCATCAAATCAGCAAGTCTAATCTAGTTCAATATTTCTATGAGGGCTTGCTATCTCATCACAAGAACACAATAGATGCTGCAGCCCATGGTTCACTATTTGATTTGACTCCTCACAATGCTTGGGAATTATTGGAGAAGATGGCCAACAATAATCAGCAATTCAGCACAAGGGATAACCAATCTGTCAATGAAATTTTAAGGTCAAATCCTACTAACTTAGACTCTCAATTTGCTGCCTTATCAGAAAGGATGGACAAGAGAATGACTAGGATGGAGCAACTCTTGTCAACTAAACAATGTGGTGCTATGGGAACATCTCAAGCCTTGGTAGCTCCCTCTTGTGACTCCTGTGGTTCTATGATGCATTGTACTGAATCTTGCCCTTCTCAATTTGAAGAAGTGTCAGCCATGTATCAACAAAGAGCCGGTCAATATCAGCAAAGGAACCCTTTCTCCAACACCTATAACGAAGGATGGAAGGATCATCCCAATTTTAGATGGGGAGGAGGAGAGAACAACAAGGAGAGATTTATGCAGAATAGGTTCCAGCAACGTCAACATTCAGAACAAGCTATGGTTCCATCCCAAACTACTCAAGAAGTTGGGAATTCAAGGAATGATGACATGTCTCTCTTGTTGAAAAGCATGAACAGTATGAATGCTAATCTCAGTGCTATGGCATCTCAAATGGACAGAATTGATAAGCATACCACTGCATCTGATGCAAGAATGGCTGCTATAGAGAATAGGGTTGAACAATGGGAAACTAAGACAGCAAACTTGGCTAACTTTGTTACCCAAATTTCAGATAATTTCAGCAGTCTTCAAGCAAAAACAAGTGGAGCTTTGCCTTCCAATACTGTGATTAATCCCAAGTCATTGAATGCCATAAGTTTGAGAAGTGGAAGAAAGGTGACATTCAATGAGAATGATGAAGAATCTGACTTGGATGAAGATCATTACACTAAAGGGAATTCTACTCATGAAAAGAAACCACCAAGTGTGGAATCTGAAAGCTTAAG